AAAAAAAAAAAAAAAAAAAAAAAAAGCGCACCTATGTGATTTGCATCCTCCAGCTCAATCTCATCTCGCAGTTTTGCAGCTTCATTCCTCAGCTCTGTAGGTATCGGTTTTCCTTCTGAAATAATAAATAAAATAAATACAAACAAAACCATAGAATATTAGAAACAGAAAAAAATAATAATAATTAAAAAAATGACACATGACATGGTTCAAAATTGCAAAATTCAAATGTGACATGAGTCATGCACAATTTGATAATTAGAAATTAAAAATTCGAAATTAGAAATGAGAAAAAAACAAAAAAAAAGCGGAAATTGGAAATTTAAAATTCGGAAATTGGGGTTGCAGAAAGAAGGAAAGGTGAAGAGGCAGAGAGAGATAGGGCCTCCCTCCACTGCAGAAGCTTGTAGCAAATGTATCGGGAGCTAATCATGGACCCGATTCAGTCCAAACATGTTGGCTCAGTCCGGATGCATGTGGTATGCACAACAGTCCAGATACATGTAGAATGTTGTGCAGTGGAGCGAGGCCCATAGGGCAAAAGAAACGATATGCGCCTATTGTCATATACAATGGTTCTCGTTCATCAAAAAGGAACAGAGTATAGACAAAAAATGTTTTTTTTTTTTCTTTTTTAACACACAAAAAAACACAGCCAGAAGAACGGAAGAGAAAAAAAAAACCTCCTCGCCCTCTCTCCCCCCTCCCCCCCCAACCAAAAAAAAAAAAAAAAAAAAAAAAAAAGAAGAAGAGGAGAAGGTCTGACGAACACCAACTGACAAAGATACAGACAGAAAGAATAGACAGAAACATAGACGGCCTCGCTCCGGCACTCACCAAATGAACAAAAGACAATAATCATGCCAGTGTATCATTCCATGTTCTCCGGGAAGATTCATTCTCATTTTATGCATTTGGTGAATGGTGGAGCGAGGGCCATAGATGTAGACAGAAAAACATGTGAATACATCGCATATGAGTGGATTTCAGTGCTGTGCTTCTGCAGAAATGACCACCGCCCGGTCATTATCACTGTATCTAGACTGAAAGTGGCACCAAATACAGCTAAAATGACCGGGCGTTCACCCGGTAGGTACTCAGTTCAATGCGCCTGCTGCTTCAGTGCTTGCTCAGTGCTTGTGCAGTGATTATTCAGTGATTATTCAGTGACGGTTCACTTATGATTTGCAAAATTTAGTCAGTGTTCAACCAACCAATTGCGCGGTTTTCTTTTTTCTATTTTTTTTTGGCCTCAAAATTCGAAATGCATTACATCAATTACGTGCTTGTTTAGCGCTTGTCGACTTCCAATACTGAGCAAACAAAAATAAACTGCAAATAATCGAAAAATAATGCGAAAAAAGAACGAAATGCAAAACAAAAGTAGTACCCAAAAAAAAATAGTAATGCAAAAAAAAGTGCAAAACGTCGTTTGTATTGCGATTCTACACAGTATTTTTTTATCCCTCCGACCTTTTTTTTTTTTTGTGGGGGGGGCGCTGGGGCTGCCCGGAACCCTGCCCGGGCACAAGTTGGGCCCCCGGAAACCCAACTTGTGCCCAAGTTGTGAGATACAGAGATGGCAAGATTGGTAGGTTGTTTGTCCGGGCGTCCGGGCACTGAACTTGTGCCCGGGTACACGCTCGGGTGCCCGGCCGGGCATGAACCCGGCCAGGGTTCCGACCAGATTGCAATTCGCCATTTGTTCGGCGTTCGTTTTGTTCGCCGTTTGGCCCCGTTTGTTCGCCGTTTGCGCGCCGTCTGATTGCCGTTTATCCGCCGTTCGATCACCGTTTGTGCGCCGTTTGTGTGCCGTTCGATTGCCGTTAGATCGCCTTTAGATCGCCATTCGATTGCCGTTGGATCGCCGTTGGATCGCCGTTCGGCCACCGTTTGTTCGCGGTTTGATCGCCGTTTGTTCGCCGTTTGCGCGCCGTTTGATCGCCGTCTGTTCGCCGTTTGCGCCGTTCGAGCGCCGTTTGATCGCCGTTTGTAAAAGACCCGCTCACAGGGTTCGCTTGCTCAGCGTTCGACTAGTGTCTCCGTGCTCGCTCAGTGATAGTGCGGTGATCGTTGAGAATACTCAGTGTTCCTTCGATTTGCTCGCTAAGTGTGCTTGCTCAGCGTGTCTCTGTCGGTGTTTTCTTTTTCTTTTGTTATTTTGTTCTTTGTAAAGTTGTCAACAACATCAAGCATCCGGTCCTTCCCTCGAACCAGGTTCACGATACCTCAGCGGACAAAAATCACATGGGTGTGCAGCACTGTAGAGTAACCTGCAACTGCAGTTTTGTGTTTTTTTTTTTTCAAACGGGGGGGCGGGGGKGGGGGTTGCGCGCCAAATCTGGCCATCATCATATCTCGCAAAATTTTATTATTATTATTTTTTTTTTTAATCTCGCAAAATTTGATTACCTGTCGGGTTCTTTATCTTACCAACAGCCTGCTCTGGCACGTCCACAGCGTTTGTCAACCATGCGCCGACCGCGCCAGATCAGACCAAATTTTCCTTTTTTTTTTTTTTCTTTTTTTTTTTGGAAAGTTGTAATATATTGCCAAAAATGATGGCGACGAGGCCGGGACCTCACAATGAGACCCAGTTTTCCAGTGGTGACCGACGCTAACAAAAAAGAGGGCCATTGTGCTTTTCTCACTTCACTTCTTCCCCCCCCAGCAGTTCAAAATAAGAGAGAGAAAAAAATGTATACGCGAACTGAGAACGCCTTTGCGGGAGAGAGAGAGACAAAGAGAAGGAGAAGGCGGGAGGAGGGGGGGGGAGGGGAAGGGACGAAAAGGGGAAAAGGAACTAGAGAAGGAGAGAAAGGGAGTGCACTCTTATTTTTTGTTTTTTCTTTCTTTTCCTTTCATTTTTATCGTGCTCCTTTTTCTTTTTTCTTTTCTATTTCACCTTTCCATACCTTATGTACTTTCTCTAGTATCGTTACAGATCCAGTGAAGACGCCCTCAATATCAAACAATCAATCAACCAATCAACCAATCAACCAATCAATCAATCAATCAACCAATCAATCAATCAATCAACCAATCAATCAACCAATCAACCAATCAACCAGTCAATCAATCAATCAATCAATCAACCAATCAACCAATCAATCAACCAATCAATCAATCAATCAATCCATCCAGCAATCAATCAATCAATCATAGTAGGGTCACAACTACTTACCTTCAAGGGCCTGCCTAATTTTCCGCTTTTTCTCATATATTGCCCGCTCTTTCCCCTCCAGCCCTTTCCTGTACAAATACTCGCGCCGCAGGCGGGCATTTCGTCTAATCATCTTCGATACTTCAGTTGCTTAACGCAACCAACGACGACCGGTCAATTCACCGGACCGACCGGTCGTTCCACAAAGCCACCGTCCGCTCGTCTCACACGCAGCCACCCGTGAACCCGCCAGAACGCGGACCGATCGAGAAATAACAGACGAGGACCGGTCGGTCAAATGTGCGACCGGCACGTGGCCGCAACTTGTCAAGTCGCCCACAGAGGACACCTCCCAACTTGCCACGTCACCCACTTAGGAGCCCCTGATTGATTGAAAAGTACCCCTGAATCCCTCTCGCGAACCCCTAATTACTGTAACCCGCAGAAAAAAAGGCTTTCGGCGACAGCCCCGACGACCCTGACGAGCCCACCACCGACCATAGCCGCCGCTACCACTTGCACTTTCGGTCATTCACCTTAGTGCACAGCTGCAGCAGCCGCCTGAATAGTACTGTGGCCAAAACGGTCCCACATAGCTCTAGCTACCGGTATAGTCCCACGCCGCCAAAACAGTCCCAAATAGCCCGAGCCAGTCCCCCGCCGTGTTTTGTGACCAACAGTCCCAAATAGCCCGAGCCAGTACCCCGCCGCCTGAATGGTACCGTGGCCAAAACGGTCCCAAATAGCCCGAGCTAAGTAGTCCACAGCAGCAGCAGCCTCAATGGTACCGTGGCCAAAACGGTCCCACATGCCCGGCACGCCGCATGAGTGCTACTGTGGCCAAAGTGGTCCCCATTGCCCGAGCCAGTCCCACGCCGCGAAACGTCCCAAAAAGCCCAAGCCAGTCCCACACTGCCTGAGTGGTATTGTGACCACTGGTCCCAAATAATAGCTGAGCTAGTCCACAGCAGCATCCACCCGAATGGTACTGTGGCCAAAACAGTCCCAAATGCCCGAGCCAGTCCCATACCGCACGATTGCCACTATGGCCAATGTGGTCCCACATAGCCCGAGCCACCTGGATGGTATTGTGGCCCCAACGGTCCCCCATAGCCCGAGCCAAGCCATAATAGCAGCTTCCTGGATGGTAATGTGGCCAAAACTGTCCCACATAGCTTGACCCAGTCCTACGCCGCCTGGACGCTACTATGTTTCACTGTCCTACTTAAATGCATCCTAGTTACAAAACCTAAACCAGTACTTTTGACCCTTTCCTTGTTGAGCCTCGAAACACATAGCGCACCCAAAAAACATGAATCAACGCAGGCCTTCTTTTGGCTAGCGCCGCCAACCATTTTGCTTTAGCAGGCCAACCTCCAAAACTTCTCATCCCATGCACGTCATGTCCAAGCATAATATATTGGAGTATGTGAAATTTCAGCTCTCTCAAAGTGCACTACTAACCGTGGTTGAGGTCTCACTTGCCCAGATCCGGTGGGCCTCAATACATTCTCATATCGTTGGCTCTTATATCCATCCTTATACGCCCATATATACATTTAAAATATTGCATAGTTCAGCGGGGTATTTTATTCCTTATTTGCACACTACCTAGGCTGCCGGTCGGGCTACACCGGGTCACCTTGTTCACTCAGGCGGCCCAGTTGTACAAATGTCCAAGAAGGTCCCAGCAAAAAAAAAAAAGAAAAACGAAATTTTTGTAGGCTACAAGTCAGGCTGCCTGAGTAACCTTGTTTGTCAGGGCGGCCCAGTCGTGCAAGGGCCAGGGTCGGTCCCAGCAAAAAAAAAAAAAAAAAAAAAAAAAAAACCTACGAAAAAAACTATGTTATGCATAAAAATTAATTGAACAACTTTTGCCTCAGGGTTACATCAAAATTGTTTACCAAATAAAAAAAAATTAAAAAAAAATAAAATATATATTTAAACTAATTTTTGATATGCCTCAGGGTCACATCAAAATTCTTTATAAAATTAAAATAAAAATATAAATTATTATTTCGCTTTCGTAGCCTATATATATACAGGGTGGTTGGCGTTCAGGACGGGCCCAGCGCCCGAACCCGAACGCCCGAACGTACGGGACCCCTTGGGGATTCGGCCGTTCAGGGCGAACGCGGATGAAAAAAAACAAAATCAAAAAAATCAAACAAATCTGGAAAAAAACTTATCATATTAAGAAACATAAACTAAACAATATTTGCCTAAGCATTACATTCAAATTCCTTACCAAATTGGAAATACAAATGAAAAAAGAAAAATAAATGCTAATTAAAAAAAAGAAAAACAAAAAATAGATAATTAAAATTAATGAGTGCGCAAACCCGTTTTCGACACTGCCATCTTTGGCGATTTTTCATTTTTTTTTCACATAGTGATTTTTTATTTTTTTTTCACATAGCCAAATATGCCCTGCATACATATGTGTACATTACATAATATAAAACTCATGCAAAAAGTTTTAAAAATATATATTTAAAACTAATTTTCGATGTGCCTCAGGGTCATATCAAAATTCTTTACCAAATTTAAAATATGAATATAAATTAAAAAATCACTTTTATTTGTTTATTTCTTTTTGGCCTCGCCAGGCAAGTGGACCCGGGCCACTCTTGTAGCCTAGGATTTTTTCGAATTGTTTTTTATTTTGATTTTCTTGTTGGACCTACTTCAACCCTTGCACGACCGGGCCGCCCAAGCGAACAAGCTCATCTGGATGACTCGACTGGTAACCTAGTTTTTTGTAAATTTTTTCTGCCTGACCGGGCAAATGTTTCCGAGCCACTCTCGTAGCCCAACAAACTATAGATTATACGTGCAAGCATCAACGACAATAAATGAAATGAAGAATCTAGGTAAGTGGGACTTCAATACAAAGTCTCACATTTTAGTTATCAACTATCATTTCCCTCAGTCCTTATTTAACCCCTGATGCAAGAACCATGATGCAAAATGTGTATGATTGCTTTATCATTAAAAAAAAAAAAAAAACAAAGGTTATAATAATTATCGTCTTCAATTGTCGCAATTCAAAAGGTATATTAGGGATGTATCGATGTAATTCACGAGCTAGCAAACAAATCATTAATTATGAGATTATACGGTTAAATAATAAATTGTTATTCTCAACATTAAAATGTAAGAAAATTTTAAAATGTTTAGCAACTAAGAGAACATTAGACGAAAGTCTATATCATATTGGAGATTTGTGATCTTAAACAATAATGCTTTGTACATTAAAAACAAAAACTCACGAAATTAATCCTTACCAAATCTTAAAGTTTTTTTTTTTTGCAAAAATAAAACTTGCTGATATGAGATTAATTAAATAATAGTAATAATAATAATAATAACAAAATCTTACCCCTTAAGCAGCATTGGCTGCGAGAGGGAGGTCAATGGTCCGCTGCACGCCAGAATCGGGTTTAAGTTTCGGTGCGGGTCGGCGGATGAAGGCGATCAAGGGCGGGTGGGCATGCAGAGTGGCGAGTGTACCGAATTGTTCACAGCGCGCCACTAAACGAGAGAGCACGCCCACGGGGCCGCACGGGACGGGTAGACGCCGAGCATCGATGGGGATGAATATCTCGGCGTGCCCGCCGTCGATAAGCAGACAAGATATCTTTTTTTTTCCTCTCTTTTTCGGTCGTCGTTTTTTTTTTTTTTTT